TTTGTGAGCAGCTCGTATACCTCCTCCAGCTGCTTCTCGTCCTCCAGGTCCATTGTCACCCACTCAAAGCCAGGGTACATTGGGCTGGGATTCTTGTCCACCTCGTCAATCTTGATCTCCTTGATTGGGCCGTCTTTGATCTTCTCCTTGTTCGCCATCTCCTCGAAGCTGGGTACGGGCTGTGTCTTCCAGAAAGCGTGGCTGGCCATGTCCTTTTGGCTGCCCTGTGGCGCCAGCCCCGTCAGCATCTCGTTGATGTTGAGCTTCTTGATCAATTGCGCGAGTTCTTCCTTGTTGTTCGCCTTGCCCTGCAGTTCATTCGCCAGGCCGGGGTTGTTCGCGAGCAGCATGTTCATCGCTTCCTTGGGTAGGACGTTTCCTGCGGGCGCATTCAGGTCGGTGGTCTCGCCAGCCTTGCCTTTGCCGCTGATGGCATCCTTGATCTTGCGCTTCCTGCTCTTCTTCTTCTTTTCCGACGCGCCCTCTGCGCCTTCCACCGTCTCGGTCGCGTCGTCGCCGCTCTCGTCTGCGGATTCGGCTTCTGCCTGCTTGCTCGATTCGGCGACAGCTTCGGCCGCTGCCTGCGACGTCGCGTCGGGGTCGGAGATCTTGGAGGCTTCCTGAGGCATGTTGGAGGGGTGTAGGGTGTGTCGGCGGGCTAGCGGGGAGGTGTGGCTGTTGTAGTCTTGCCTGGCAGCTCAGGAACAGGTAATTGAGCACTGAGAGCTGCTTTGGGTGGGGCATGGAGGGGCACCTCGAGTCGCGGCTGCACCTGCCCTGCCGTCAGCACCACAACTTCATTCACACATACACACGAACATGGAGACTGGTCATCGATGATCACAAACAACTTGGATACTCGTAAGATGACTTCATTGATTGAGCGGTTGTAACGCGAATCTCAGTACCAAATACAAACAGGTGGGTATCTTCCTAGCCAGACTCCAAAACACCCGCCAAACGCCGGTCCTGAAAGGCGCCCAAAAGCAACAGTAGCAAGGGGTATCGTAAAAAAGAAAACATCCTGAGGATACCATCGCGACCAAGATCCACAACATCACCACCACAACATCCTCATCTCACACTACACTACTCAATCACCCCTTCTACACCCACTTAACCCGCGTCCATACCATCTCAGCATCCACATCACAACCATCAGTCGCTTATCCATCCGTCCAGCACATGCATGTCAACACAAACAAACCCTACCCACCCCACCATCCTTCAGAACGGGACCTTCCCGGGGTAAACCCCGGTCTAGTCACTCAGGCACCGTAAAGGGCTATACCTGCTGCATAAGATAAAGGTGAGGAGCTGGTGTAACAAGACAGTCGGGCAATCCAAACAACACATAGTGTGTTCTTGAGCTTCAGTGTCTTGACTCCAAGAGGGTGGGGAGGGTTTGCTGGTAGCGGCGCGGTGGGGCACCCGGTGAGACACACGAATGCGCTACTCACCCTATAGGTGGCACAGGGCCGCTACCTTGTCAGTGTTGAGTCTTGTGTAGAGGGAGGAAAGGCGGTGGTGGTATTGAGGTGGATCGATGAGGGGAGGTGGAGGGGGTTTCAGTAGGTGTTTACCGGGGTGTTCGAGTGGCGCTGGTGTGTGATGAGGATTCGTGGCGTTGACATCGTTTCTCTCATGTTCGTTGGTATCTCCGGTCAGAACTCTGTCCGTGTCTAGGCAAAGTCCTTCCTGTAGAGCGGGAAGTCCGTCGTTCTGGGCTCACCAGTCGGGCACGGATCACTCGAGTAGGCGGGCATCTTGGGCAATGAAACCATCTTGTGCTTGCGAGGCGGCGCAGTACCGAAGTCCATCTTGGCAGTAAACTTGCGGAGCTCGGCGGCGTCGAAAGGAGCAACCTTGGGCTTCATGGCCTCAGGATCGCCCCACTGCGCAAGTTGGCCCTTGGCGGCGAAGTCCTCGATCTGGGGCCCAAAAAGACCCTCAGGGTTGACGTAGACCGGGAAGCGCTTCTCGTGGATGTTGAACGGGTTGTGCTCGGACTTGTAAACGGGGATGTTAAGACCAGGTATGGCGCCAGAGAAGACCCAGTGATCCTTGACGAACGGATCGAAGTTGTCGGGAACGTTACCAGGGCCGTTGGCCTTCCAGGCAAGAATCATCGACATACGGAAGGGCTCCTTCTCGTACTTCATGCCGAAGTTTTCAACCTGCTTCAAGTATTCGCGGCCAAGATCCCATTTGTTAACCGCCCGGACCGTGTATTCCCTGTAACCCATGTAGAAGCCAGTGCGCGGGTCAGGTTTAACGCGGAACTCAAGCTGGCTGGGCTGGTAAGGATGTTTGGCGTTGAGATCGTTGGGCCTTCGACCATGGAGTTCGTTGTACAGAGCGTTCAAGATGGCGCAGAGCAGAAGACGGAAGTAGTTGTTGTCGTGAACGAGCTCGATGATCGTTGCACGGTAGCCAACACACTTCTCGCCAATCTCGCGGCTGTTAATGGAGTCGTAGTGTTGCTCCATGTACTTGATTTGAGCTTCCAAACGAGCTATGTCTTCGAGGGATTTCCACTGTCGCAGCAAAAGGAGCGCGATCTGGCTGTGGTTGTATGTGGACGTCTCGCAGTAAGCGTTGTGGACGTTGTCTTCGTAAGACTTGATCTCACGGGGCGCCAAATTGTCAGGTACTTTCCTCTCCAAGAGACGGATCAGGGCACGATTGTAAACGGCTTTCACCAGCTTGAGGCCTACCCAAATCCCACCGAGAGCCGTCTTGATCAGCCCATTGGATACGGAGAGCATTTCCCGAAGGCCCTTCAGGCCGGTCTGGTAGCATCCTAGCCAGATGTCCCAAAAGTACGCATCTTCGCTCCCGCCGAAAAGACCTTCCATCGTGGCCAAGCTGACATCGCGAGAGTGTGACCAAATCTGCATCCAAGATCGGATACGGAGCTTGATCACAAGAACGATGAGATTCCAGCCGAGAAAGAAGATGTCGCTCAAAGCGGCCTTGATTATCACAGCGAACTTGGTGTCCGGTTGTCTTGGTCTGGCGGCGGCAAGGTCTGGGAAAAGGCACTCTCCGATGGTAATCCTAGTGATAGGTCGATCGAATACTCTGTCGATGCGACGCGTGCTTGTCCGGGCTTCGTACCAACGCCTCGCTTGTCTAGCCATCCATTGTACTGGGGCGGTTGCAACCGTCTTTGCAAATCGTCCACACAGGAAGAGGATGTGCCCGATGGGCGGCAGTTGGAAGTGGGCGATGAGGAGGAGTGGATACGAGAAAAGGACTTTGATTATCTTCGGCCATACTACGTATCCTTCTGACCATCCGATGCAGTAGTCGGTGATCAAGCCTACCCAAGCCAGGATCAGACAAGCATATCCGATGCGGCAGCCAGTGTGTCGAAAGGAAGCGTCGATGTATTCAGGGATCTGACCCAATGATTGCATAACGTGATCCTTGCCTTTGACGATGATAGCGATCCATGAGGCCATGACGGCGGCGGAAAAGACGGCGGCGAAGATTGCGATGACATCGAATGTGGAATACTGAGGCGTCCACATTACGTGCATTGCAGTCGTACGATCTTGATGAAGCTCGTCGGAACGAGCTCGGGTGCGAGACGCAGCCCGAGTGTAGTCAGGGGAGGGGTAGGAGTAACCGTCTATAGTAGAACGGTCGGACTCGGGAACAGGGGTAGAGGAGGTGGCCGGGATGGCGGGAATTGCGTGGGTGATGGCGGTAGCAACAACTAGAGGAGATGTCAGTCATCGTAGATATCAAAGTGGGGATTATTCAGTCGAAACTTACCTCCGACGGTTTCAGTGAAGGTGACAGTGATGGTAGGTAGAGGTTGTTCAAGCACGAGATAAGTCTTAACGACCATCTCGACATCGGAAGGAGGTAACGGCCATTTCGCACGATTCCAGACGGCGATACCCACCATGTACAGTAAGGCGTCAGCCCACCACATGATGTTGGCGGTTGTTGTCGCGCACTATCAGAAAGACTGAAGTATCGTGGGTAGAGGTGTCAGGTGAACGGAGGTGTCGCACTGCGAGCTATGCGCAAGCAAGCTGTTGGGGGTGGCAAGAAACAGGCGTGATCAAAGAGTCGTCGAGATCGAATGTACCGTCAGTCGCCAATGCGTAAACAAAAAATCGCAGCGGCGGCGGGGGAGTGAGCTTTTATGCACTCCAGGCAGCGAGGCTTTAGTGCGATTAGGTCAGCGATGAGTGTTGTTTTGGACCCTTTTTTGCGAGGTCGTGGAGGTGGGGGACCATAAGCGGGTGGCGGAATGTTTGTTTCATTGAGTTGTATTGCGGTAGACTTCATGGTGTTTGGTGGTTGGAAGGTTTGTGTGGTGGAGTGAAAGGGGAAGTTGCGAAGGGTGGATGGAAGGAACCGTGGGGACGCGGGAACATCAGCGACGCGAGATAGCGAGAGGAACATCAGAAGCGTTCCTACGACATCCGTACGCATAGCAGATTGATTCAGAGGCCTGATTTACTGTTAGCATGTTATCCAAATGCGCGGTCCTTACTTGCTTATCAGCAACTCAACAACGCTCACTGCACACACAAAGCGGCCAAGAGATTTTGACGAACTATATCATTTCCACTACATCAACCCGTACGTAGTCTCTGCGCTATGCTACCCACTATCCTCTTCTTCTGGTACTGAATCGCGACTGCCGTTGTCATCAAACTCCACCTCAGGGTATTTCCCACCAACCGTAACAAAAATACATTAGATCCAGTCCATCGGTCATGACAAAGCGTCCACAGGACGGGTATATAAAGAGAACACACTGTATGAAGGAGTAGTAAACCAAGGAAAAAGAGATACGCCCTGCGCTGTGCCATCCAAGGACACACGCCCGCCCTTTTGATATCGTACATTGGATCGCGACAAGATGGAAATGTAATGGAAAAGAGAGACGTATGATGTGATGGCGAAAAGACGAAAAAGGGTATCGCTATGCAGGTGAAAAGCAAAATCTTGGGTCTAAGTGTAGATGCTCAAGCTCAGGATGAGGTACTCTGTGGTCCGCGTATCGTGGTGCCGTTCTGGAACTCGATTGTGAAGTTGACGAGATCTAGTTCAAAGGGGCCGACGTCGATGCTGCCGCTGTTCGAGTTCCCGTTGCGGTCGTCTGTGAGTAGGGATTGTATGGACTCCTGTGCGCTCGCGGCCACGTCTAGGTCTTTGCTTTCCTGAAGCGCAAGGAGCACCGCTACACGGGCAAAGTCGAGAGCATTGATGTTGCTCGAGATGGGCTGGGTTACGAGCTTGTCCGTCTGGGCTTTGGCTTGTTCGTTGGAAGTCTCGGCTTCGTCGACCTGGCCGACCGTTTGGCGCTTGGCTAGATGACCAGGGACCTGCGCAGGATGAGGATGATGGAGTACTGGGAGCGTTCGCGACGGGTGAAGTGCGGTCCTTGAGTCCATCGAATGAAGACGCTGAGGGATTGAACGAGAAGCAAGACCATTGAAGGTAATGAGGGCGTTCTCGGCTGCGCAACTGAGCGAGAGCTGAGAGAACAACGACAAGACACGGGTGGCATCCAAAGGAACGTTGAACTTGGGGGCGGTCACCTCGATCAGGCGAGGAATACCAGAGCCCATCGTGGCGTTGTTGGCAGTGCCCTCGATGCTGGTTGTGGTGCAACCAGTAGCATCGTCGTTCGTACACGTCTTTCCAGTGAAGCCGTTGATGCATACACAGTTGCACGATCGGTCGCCGTTGAGTATGGCGACACCGCCGTTCTGGCAGGTAATGATACCGCTACATTGGTCGTTCCCTTGACCCGGCCCAGACGTGGGAAGTGGTGCAGCAGGTGCGTTGGGATTGTTCATGTTGTTGTTACCCCCGGTGTTGCCTCCGTTGTTACTTCCTTGAGTCTCTTGAGCGGCAGAGGTATTGGCGGCCTTGCTCTGGTTTGGTAGGACGACTAGGAACACGGGAATGACGACCGCGGCAGCGATGACGAATAGCAAGACTATGAGTAGCGTGATGAATGTCCACAAGGGCATACCACAGCACCTTCGACGCGGCTTCTGCTTTTCGTTGCTGAATCCAGAGTCGGTGGCACCGTTGCGTCCGTTACCACCTGAAGGCCACTTCGTCATGCTGCCGTTGCGGAAGTTCGGGGTACCCCGGCCAGAGCGGTTGGGAGTTTCTTGACCTGGTGGTGGGAAAGCGGCGAGCATCTCAGACAATCCAGATTGACGAACTTGGTTCCTGTCGGGAGCACCAGTTTCCCAAAAGTCCAAACCAAGTCGACTTGCTGTGCGTCCGCGATCAAGGTTCGCTGCCAGTCGCGTGGCTCTTCGAATGAGATCTGGCAGACTCGTTAAGCTGCCGCGCGCTTCAGCGTCCCGGACCGCGTCCATGTCGAGCCTCGCGGGCCGTCGCATACCAGCACGCTCGGACATTCCGGGGTGTCGCAATTCCTGTTGGAGTGGTGATGCAGTCCCAACGTTTCCGGCCTTGCTCTTGAAGTCCTCAATCGTGTCTATGGAGTCCATGGAGACGGACCTGCTGAGAGGATGTCTTGAAATACCCGACGGACTGCCATCCCTCGCTGCGAGTGTTGCGGCTCCGATGCCCATGGCCCCCGCGCCAAGCCGAGAGCCATCAGGCTTCTTCCCTTCAGATCCACCCTTCTTGTTTCCAAAGCTGTCCACTGACTTGATAGTCATCAGCGATGGCTTAGTCCTCCTGCCCAAGCTCGCCTGTCGCAGAAGGGCGGGCGATTGCTGTACGAGGCCGCTTCGGTCGTCGGAGTCGGTCGGGGTCGGTGAGATGGTATCGCGACTGTTTATGGTTTCGCCGTCATCCGAGTAGAGATCGTCATCGGGGTAGAAGTCATCCTTGTTAGTCGGGAATACGTTGCTAGAAGCAAAGGACCCGCGTTGTGACTGTATCCTTGAGGAGTTGTTCTCCGACTCCTCGACGATGGGTGACACATACGACATCTGCGTGTAGTACGACGAAGGCCCTCTCCGCGAAGAGGGCGGTGGACCGAGACTTGGAAAGCGTCGCGCTTGTTGGATACTTGGCATAGGCGGTTGGGGTACAGGAAAGTCGGGTATGGAGCCTATCGAGGAGTCCGAGGCTATCGACGAGGTGGTGATTGGGCGCGAAGATCGAAATGAGTTAGGTGAGAAGGTGTCGGCATTCGGATGTAGATATATTGATGTTGGGGAGGTCGGCGAGGGAAGATCGGGCGAGAGCTGCTGTATAGGAAACTCGTCGGATACAGGGCGTGCAAACTGTGGCGGTGGTCTCAGTCTTTCTGGAGAGCGAGGTGGTAAGACAGGTGTCGGGTCGGCTTTGTCCCTGGTATTGTTTGGCAGTGGCCATTGTGGTGACGGCGATCCCGAATCAATGTCACCTCTGCTTCCCGAAGGCGCCGGTTGCTGTGACTGTTCTACACGTTCCTGAGAGTTCTGCATGACGAGCTGGTTTGGTCGCCGGGGAAGGCCAATGATCTTCGACGTGTCTGGGAGTTGGGTCCTCTTTTGCGCAGCCTGCATCCGCTCTCTCGCCGCCCGCACCGAACCCTTCCTTGCGTCTCCATCGCCGCTTGCGCCTGTTGCACCGTATGCTGCGGCGCCCAGTCTTGGATCGTAACTCATGAATTAGATGTCGAAATGTTGACGGTAAATGTGCCACTCGACACAAGTCTGGCTGTAAAAGGTTGTTGTGCGACGCGAGGTTCACACCCTCGGTGCGCGTGACTGGTAGAGTCGTCGAGTCTGCTCCAGGCAACGTGTGGGTTGTAAGAGTGTTGAATGTGGGTACTGTTGTGCGACTGTTGACGCATACGCACTTGTTGCAAGACAGCTGATGGCCAATGCGGACATGTATGACACGCAGGCCCCGGGGTACTCGAGCTCCCGAATGCTGGTCCAGGTACCTTCTCCAAATTACAGGCAAAGAGGTGAGAGTAGGGTAGACTCCAGGAACAGACGCGGTGATTTGATACGTGTCGGTACACGCGGAAAGCAGCGATTCCTTGCGTGAGTGACAGCCAGTTGCCTGAGGTTTCAGAGATTCAGGAACCAGGAGGTGACTGATACACCGTATCAGATATCGACTAACCTACTCTCACAGATCAGAACGAGTCCTTTGCATGATCGGTGGTGCTCGATAGGGACTCAATAAGGACAGCAAGGGCTCTGCGGACGGAGAGTACACCGTGATGCAGAGTATAACCGAGCCACTATAGCCCAAGAGCCTATGCAGCCCAGCAATAACATGCCAAATACGACGAGAGCGGACGCAGAGGCGAGGAAGAAGGGAAGGTGTAACGTTCTCTGTTGCAGCACCGTGGCGCTGATCCCAATGGGGTTTCATAGAAAATCCATGTACTTACAGTAAGAGGTTCGCAGCCAAGTCAGACGAGCGTTGTCGGAAGAACGGTTATCGATAGCACGCGATGAACGAAGGCGGTTGAATAGAGTGACAGGCCGTTGAGCCAAGTATAAGGAATATGTACAAAGGGTAAATGCGGGGACTAAGCTACGCGGAGGTGTCGAAAGTAGTAAAAAGAAAGTATAATAGTTAGGATGCGACAGAATGGTGGTGGCGCAAGAGCTTCGAGCTCGCGAATGGCTTCAGGCCGAGATGGAATGGAAAGAGTGAGGACAGGCAAAAGGCACGAGAGACAGCGACGACATGTCACGCAAATACAGAAACTTTGGAGTGGCAGGCAGGGCAGATTGTGGAACACGCAAGGTTGGCATGGTTCAGAGTTAGAAGCACGGACTAGAAGGTGTAGTGCAGGAAGCGAAGACGCCACGACATGCGCGGGCGACTCAGGGGCCTCGTACTGGTCACCGTCTATCGAAATCAGCATGGTGCGACAGTCGCGGGCAACGCACACGCTCCCGCCTCAGCACGAGGTGAGGAGAGGGCCCCAAAGATGCGCCCAACGTGCGCTGGTGCGAGAGCGTGCGCCGTTTCGAAAACGTCCGCTGCATTCACTGTGATGAGGGTAAGGTTTTCTCGAGGCGCGCCTGAGGAGCTATTCGTGGTTATTCGTGGTTGTCAGCACTTGGGGCGATCCGGTAATGTTGTAGGATGCTTCAGATGCTTGCGGCCATGGTGTGTTTTACATAGCATCACCTTGCGTAGACGATGCGGGCCCGCGACTCGGTCTCGAGTGTCGTTCCGGCCAAGACAGCCCAGTTTAGCACTCGCGTGCTGTTCCTGCATGCATGACGCTTTTTTGGGGCCAGGCAATAAGCCTACTGCGACGCTCACAAAGGGTGCCTGCAGGAGTGCGAACCATTCTGCCTGAGGGCGCCGTTGACGGTGTGCGCAACAACGTCAAACGTCCCAACGCTGTCACTAGGGATCCTAGTGATCGGGGAAAGGGCCGAGCCAGCGAGATTGGACGCAGGGTCGCGATCGAAGTTGATTTTGCGAGGCTCAGCGAATGGCTGTGGAAGACGGGATTGATATTAGATGCCGAACCACGGTGACCGTGATGGCGGGATCGAAGGTGGACAGCTGGGAGTAATCAATTCGAGGCGTCCCATAGATAGCGATCGACAAGCGAGATCCAGCGGCCTTGGTGCGTCGATTGCACCGTCCCGCGTCTCGTCCTACCGCGCCAAAACCTTGACGTGATGTCTCTGAAATATCCCAAGGCTGACACTATCTCGCGCAATCACCGGTAGAGTTCGCGCAGAACCTTGGACGTGGCCGTTGGGCAGGCACCGGCTCAGTCTGCCACGTGATGTCAGCGTGGCGGAAATTATGGGCAAAAAAAGAAACATCCGACAACGCCTCTGTCGACTCGACCCGAGCAAGTGCTCTGTGCATACGGAAGCTGCGGTCGTCGCTACCAGATCAGCGAAGATCCCCACCTGGGCATCCCCGTGTACCGCACACGTCATATATTGATCTTATACCACCAGACTCATGTCCACACTATTGAATCTACTGAATCCTGCGGAAAAATGTTTACACTCCACACATGTGCGACTTGCTCGTGAGAAGAGTGTATCTGCAATCTTGGTATGCGCCTGTGCTACCAAAACATGGCGGGGAAGTAACTGCTCGGGCTCAATTGGCAGGCACGACGGATAGCTGCAATATGTAGGAGCGTTGGTGCAACTGCTGCAGCCTCCCTATTGACCTCCCAGCCACAAAGTCATGTACGACAACTGAACCCGTCCTCGAGTCATCGCTCGTGCAACGTCGAGTACCCACGCGAACAGCTAAGCTCAGCATGTCCGAGATGACGCGGATGGCTACGGACGAAGATGGAGAAATCGCGCAGCCGATCAATATGGCCTCTCAGCAAGTTCGTCGAGGGTGGAGGACTGAATCGTTCCTACAAGTTACTGAACTCCATCGTAGGGCATCGCCATTGGATGCAGTCGCACATTCCGCAAACCCGTGACACCCGACCAGAGCTCTGGGCATCTACTGCCGCATACTGAGGCTTCTCCAGACGGAGGTGTAGCCCTCGGGCCATCACATGGCGCATATAGCCAGCTATCCACGGACATCTTCACTGACCACGACCCTGCTCAGACAGCGACAACATCCACGTTCTCGAGACCAGGTGCAGTTCCACCCTCGCCTTCTCGACTAGCCAATATTCGGGTCCGGCGTGCGAACAATGGCTCAACACTGGTACAGTCACCAGCCCGCGCTGGACATGCCGCGCGGATGAGGCAGATCTTCGAAGACGCCGGCCGTGATCACCAGTCTCCTCAACCTGAGCAAGGCATCTCATATCCCCAGCTACCGAACATCTCCAGAAAGGCCTCGCCACCAGTGGAGCATGGTAGGAATGAGCAACATGCTACTCTCGCAATCTCTCCGTTACAACGTCCAGAGTCCCCGTGCATGTCGAGAACGTCGTTCAGGATGGTATCACACGCGACGCAGGCGAACAGTCCTCGCATGTCCGAGCAGAGTTCAGAGGCATGGTCGGACGACTCTGGATACTTCATCGCAGGCTCTCGAAACCGCACTGCCAGTCTTACTGGTCCGCCTAGGGATCGTATCAACGACTGGCTTGCAAGCACATCTCTACACGAACAAGAGACATGCGGTATAGAAGATGTACTCGACTACCAGTCTACTAGCCACTTACCGCGCTCTTCATCTGGGAAGGACGTCTTCAGCAAGGATAGCACTCAGTCACCCCATCATATCAGCACAACCACGATCCCAGACCCATTTCTCGAACCCGACTCTACCCTGCGCATCTCCCCCCTCTTCAAAGCTCTCCCTCCACGGCGCCCTCGTAATCAGCCACACACTCCAACCCAGACACAAACGCCTTCTCCAACGACCGTCACCATCCGCCCTCACCAACCCGCAGTAAACCGCCCGATCCTCGAAGAGGGCGGTATTCAACTTAGCCCTCTTAGCCCCAACGTCTGTATCGAGCGTGGTCCGTCTCGTTACCATTCTACGCGTACGTCGCCGATTAAAGAACGACGAGCGTTGCGGTATACTATGAACGGGAGTGAGAATGAAAACGAAAGTGGCGGCGTCGGACTACAAAAGGGGATGGGCAAGGAGGTGGTTGATGCAGAGGTACAAGGTAGTCCGCTTGCGCCGTGCAAGATCGGTGTCGGAACGAGGTTCCAGCATGCGAGGCATGGTGGGAGGGGGCTGGGCAGGTTTAGTCGGTGTTTGGGGCCGTGAAGGGTCGCTGGTAGGACGATTCAATCAGTTGAAAAGAATTGAATAGAAGAGTCGGAAGGGGGCTGATTATTGGGTATCACTGCTATATCTCAACATGGAATACCCATCAACACAGCAGAAGACTTGGATAGATCGATAGTATAGAGTGGAGCATATGACATTGCATTCGTACAGGCAACTCGTCCGCAACGAACGTGATATATACTTGTATATTCATTGTCCCTCCTCCGTCTTCTCCTCATCCACTTCATCCTTAATAATCCTGCAAATTTGAATCTTACTCTTTCCCGCCCTCAGCACCAGCGCCTCCCAATCCACGAGATAGTGATACGGATTGAACTCCTTGCCCGGTTCGATAGTCGCCCACTTCAACGCGGTCGGGTTG